ATGGGGCATCCACAGCTTCTCTGGGCAACCTGTCCCAGTGCTTCCCCACCCTCTCCAGGAAGAATTTCTTCCTGATGTCCCATCTAAATCTCCTTCTTTCAGTTTAAACTCATTATCCTTTTTCCTGTCACTACAGGCCTTTGTAAAAAGTTGATTATTTTATCTTATAACTCCTATCCCACACCAAATTGGAAGTATTCCAGAATAACTCAGTAACTGTAGGAGTAATCACCATCTGTGAGCCAAGTAACAGCACAACTCTTGCTGTTCAGGGAAATACTAGTATGGCTATTAGACCTGGCTAGCTCTGTTACAAAATAATTACAAACTTACTCAAACTTTGTAAAAAGTTGATTATTTTATCTTATAACTCCTATCCCACACCAAATTGGAAGTATTCCAGAATAACTCAGTAACTGTAGGAGTAATCACCATCTGTGAGCCAAGTAACAGCACAACTCTTGCTGTTCAGGGAAATACTAGTATGGCTATTAGACCTGGCTAGCTCTGTTACAAAATAATTACAAACTTACTCAAACTCAGCAAGTTGTCTTCAGCTATAAGGGAATAATCTGCTGCTTTACCTACACAGAAGCACATAGGCCCTCAAGCCCAATTAACAGGTCCTGGCATTTCCCTTCTATTATTCTGGGGGGGGTGTGTGGTGTGGAAGACATACTCCATCAAATAAAACCAAAAATACTTGAACAGAATGAAGGAGAATTCATTCAAAATGACACAATGTTTGTTACTGAAACTTTTCATCTACACTTGTATCAAAAAGAATAAATTTCAAATAGCATTACACTGTCTCTAAGGTGGGGTTAGACTTTTATGTTAGTTTCTATTTTGTGTACTACAGCTACTTCTATTCTTCTAGAAGCTCCCTGCAGGTACATCTTGCTTCAAGCAACCTCTTCCTTAAGAACATAAGTCAAGCCTGAAGGTCTGTGTTTTCAGAGTGATTATATGAACTGGAGCACTTGGTACATTTTTCAAAAATAGGTATCTTCCAGGTATTTTGTTATGCCTAAAATATTTTAAAACAGGCACCTTCAAGTGGGTCTTGATTTGGATCCCAAAACTTGGTGCTTCCTAGAACGTTAATCACTACCCACTAAAAAAACAAAAAAGGGGGGGGTCAATGGTCAGAAATAGATTATGTGTAAAAACAACCTTGCATCAGCCCTAACAGCCTTATTTTGTATTCTCCTAGAAATAGGTGTGAAACAAACAAGCTACACAAAACACTGAACCTAAATAACCTCCTTAGCCACGTGTCTTACGGTTTGTACTACCTTCTTTCATAGTAGAGATGATTAATACGAATCTTGTATAATCCCTACTATGGGGACATCTGAGACTATCAGCTGTGGACACAACACAATTCCATACCTCCATCTGTCCCTTTTCCGTTGTAACTTGACAGTAAGGAAGTTTAAAAGATAATATTGCTACAGCAGGCCGTGGTAGCGTAGGAGGGAATCGGGCTCCTTTACAAGGAATACACCTATGCAAGGGAAACAAAAACACGTACAGTCCTCATCACCTCCAGTCACCAGTTGTTCTACATCTACATCACGCCTCCTAAGCAGCGAGATACTTTAAGAGGATTTGTTCTTTAAAAAGTAGTAATTAAATTACTGACTTAAATATAGCAATATGGAAGACTGCATTATAAAGGGTTATTGTTGCATTGTGACCAATAAAAGATTTTAAAACCAGAAAATGCACATCCTGCTCTTGTTCACACCAGAAGCTCCAAACGCAGCACACAACAGGCACGGATCTCTCCCACGCAGTGTTTAACAGCAATTAACAAAACGAGGTATTAACATCAAAAACTACTGCACAACTCAAGGCCGCTGGCAAAAGAGCAGGCACCTCTACCATTTATTGTGATGAGGGGTTTTGGACTTGAGGAGGAGAGTGCTGTGTTCAGACACACACGAGATAAAGAAAAGAGGGGTGAACGATAAGCGTATACTAAAAACCTACACTCAGTGTTTCATTATATTCAAAGTAGTACTTTCTGGTAACAATCACTTGAGCAAAACATTGACTGGGGAAGAGCTGTATTTCCAGCAGCACCAATGCAGCATTGACAAAAACGTCTGGTTTTACAAGCTAGAGTTTCAGACATTACAAAAAGAAACCCCAACAGGAAGCACCAGTGTTCTGGCTATCTGTGTTAATTAAGGCATATGGTGTTTCGACAACAACCCTCCCCCCCTTCTTATCTGTCATATGCTGGCGGCTTTGAATAAAATGTTCTTTGCAACTCAGAGCAGCACACTCTCTCTTGGAGTAAATGGAAAAACTCACGATGAGAGACTCACAGTTAACCAGCCCATCAGTATGATGGGTCCCGCATGCTTTTGGGGGGTTTTCTGGAGGTCCACATTAAGTAACCATTTGGAGGAAGAAACAGACAGTGAGTTGACATTTACCACTGATGGTAAACTATTTCCCTCATTACAAAAAGCAGAGGGTTACAAGAATGTCATGTAAACTGACACAAAACGCAGTTTCCCACCAACCTCCACAATTGTGCACGACTAGCAAAGTGAAACAGCTGAAATCTCAGTAAAATATGTGAGCTGATGGATTCTGCCCTGGTAGGAAAAGGACACAGATTGCTGAGTGAAGAGGAGTACGAACAAAACTTAGCAATTAAGGGTTCTTGCTACAACAAAGAAAAACAAAGTTACTTATAAAACGTTGTAACAGTGATTGTCTGAAGTAATGGCTAACTCTCACCTAAATATTTATTAAAAATTCTAAAAGTTGAGCAGTTTCACAAAATTGTTCTTCATGGCCGCGTTTAAATATGAATATAACACCAAACAGTTCTGATTTGTCTATGCCTAATGATGTAGATTAGTTACAGGATTGGATTCTTCTCCAAGGGATAAAAGGGGAAAAGATACCTAAGAAGAAATAAAAATAGAAAATAAAAAGCCCCAGACAAACCAAAACCCCCAAAAGCATCACCGGCAGAAGCAGAGTCCTAACAGCAGCCATCACCTCGGCAGCAAAAAGCAGTCTCACGAACGCGTCTGCATCAGAGACGCGTAATTTCATAACAAAGCGCACACGCCTGTCAGCCGAGGCAAAAAGCCACAATTGGTCAGTTAACGAATTACACAACCCTCAGGAGTTTATTCAAAACCAATTTAGTAAGGAAACACCCCTGCAGAATTACATTTATGAACCAGATCACCTGCTGTGCACATTTACTAGCCGCCTGTTTTAGTAAAAGTTGTTCCCAGCTTCTCCTGGTGAGAAGTGTCACTAAGTTAAACCGAGACGAAGCGAGTGCTGACCTGAGCTGCTGGGGATTTTCATGGATGCCAACTACCCAGTAATGATCAGATTTTCCTCTACAATGCTCCCTCGTGTTACAAACAGGAATCCAAGTATTTCCAAGTCCTCGGTTCAACATCCGCACAATCCCCTCAGAATCCACGTAACAGGGGGTACCTGTTTGTTACAGATGAAAACAATTACTCCAACAGGCAACTAAACACAAGTTTGAATTGGTGGGTCCTGTTGGGAAACGAGGGTTTACATATCTCAAATCCGACATTCTCTCACCCAAACGCTACAACCTAGCTGGGAACAAACTAGTTTCCTTGAAAGATGCGCCACCTTCTGACAGTCAACACTACTACAGGCCAACTGACGGGTTCAAATGTAAAACGTTTTAGGAAGAACTCCAACTCATACTACTTGGGCAGATGCCCAAAGAAAATTAGCTAGTTTATAATTCAGAAAAACTCCTCCCCAGCTACCATCTTCTGGGGAGGCCTCTTGCTGAGATAGTTGAACACGCCTAGTACGGCCTATGAATGCAGTTGACTTGTTTGCTGAGCCGGGCAACCAACCAGGAAAACACCTTCTGGTAAGAATCAAGTGTATTCTGCTCATAGTGGAAATGTATTAAAGATTTTAATAAATACACTGAAACAATAGAAAAAAAAATAATTTTGTTTAGCATTGAGAAGATTGAAAAAAAACCCTCCAGGTCCCAAGATCACCATTACCAAAAGGGCATTAATTAGCCACACTCTCCTCCAAAGTTCCTTCAACAGGGGCAAGATTTCTCACTCATGCAGGTATTCCATACCTTCTGCAGAGAAGCCAATCCACACCAAATGGGATTTCTTTGCGAGAGAAAGAGGGTCTCCATGCAAAATTTGTTTTTTCTTTTTTCCTAGCTCCATCAGCTGTACTCCAAGGCACTGGTCCCCCTCAAAGCCAGTACCTAGGAGGAAGGTGTCCAAGGACTATATTAGAAAACAAAGTAATTCTCCCGTCTCTTGGCTAAATTTAAGTTTTGAATCATAAAACTAATTGTAATGCAGGATGGCCCATGAATACCACTGTCAGACAAGCGACTGGAGCCCCTCTGCTATGGGGACAGGCTGTGAGAGTTAGGCTTGTTCAGCCTGGAGAAGAGAAGGCTCTGGGGAGACCTTATTGCAGCCTTCCAGTGCCTGAAGGGGCTACAAGGGAGCTGGGGGGACTTTTTACAAGGGCCTGTAGTGACAGGGCAAGGGGTAACGGATTTAAATTGAAAGTGGGGAGGTTTAGATTAGATATCAGGAAGAAATTCTTCCCGGAGAGGGTGGGGAGGCACTGGGACAGGTTGCCCAGAGAAGCTGTGGATGCCCCATCCCTGGAAGTGGCCAAGGCCAGGCTGGATGAGGCTTGGAGCAACCTGGTCTAGGGGAAGGTGTCCCTGCCCATGGCAGGGGGGGTGGAACTAGGTGATCTTTAAGGTCCCTTCCAACCCAAACCATTCCTTGATTCTATGAATATTTGTCACTTTGGACATACAAAACATGCATAACAACTACTTCCTTCATTTCCTACAATAATTCATTCTGGCATATCTGAAACCCAAGTCTAATCAATTAATGTCACTGCTATGAAATTCTCCCCCTCCCCACAGGTTCATCTGGGCATCCCAACATCAAATGTAGGCTTAGCTGCCAGATGGCAAAGATCGGTGGGTTGTGACAGTGAAAGCCTCATCAAGAAGAGAAGAAAGATAAGCATCATCAAGAAGAAAAGCAGAAGACAGACAAGTAAAATACTCCTGGTGATTACACACACATTAACTGGTGTTTGAAGGCAGTAACGGACGAGGATTGAAAACATAACCCCAGTTCCAAAGAGACTGAAGGGAGAAAACTACCTCTGTGGTAAATAATCATTAGCTGCTCTCCATGTCCTGCCATGGATACCACTGGACCTGGGAGGCTGAAGATCTCTTTCTGAACTCCTCCAACTGTGAACACACGAACGAGCAAGGCGCTAGTGGCACAAGCGGCCCAGCCTTGACCTAGGCAGAGCGCTTCAATATCTTCATCTTTTGGCATATCCACTGTCCACTCCTTGTTTGCATCCCACGAGCTAAAATGAATGCAGTGGAGCTTGCTAAAGCAGAGAAAAAACAATAGTCAAGTATTTCAATGTGAAAAAAAGACAGTTGCTAAAATTATACCAATATATTAGGGTTTTATCAGACCTGGGAACTGTGATGGCCATAAAAAGAACTACAGAGTCCAAGTGGCTATTTGCAAAGGTGTTACTGTTGTTCAAGAGCTGAACAGCCAGCTTGACCTCCAGCACTGTACATTTAGAGCCTCTAAACCATAGAGACAGACACAGTTTAGAGGTCTTGGGGAAGATTTTTTTAGTTGGAAACAGGCAAGTGTCCTGCTTAATTAACATTAATGAGAACTGAAGGTGCTTGGTTACCCCTGAATATCAGCCCTCAGTACAAGTCAGCCATATCATGCTATCTTTCAAAAGGGACAAAAAAAAAATTAGCAACTTCAGTTGTGCCACCTCAAGGATTGAAAACTGCCTGTGACCAATTCACAGACACCGCAGCTTTTGATAGATTACCCACTTCCACTGAGAAAAAAAGAAAAAAGAAATTTCCAGGGTCAGACAACCAATATGTACAAATAATAGTTTAAGACAGATTACCCACTTCCACTGAGAAAAAAAAAATGAAGTTTCCAGGGTCAGACAACCAATACGTACAAATAATAGTTTAAGACAAAGGGCACTTTTCAACTTATCACAATACTCTGTGTGTGAAAGCAAGAATGTTCTTTCTTCAAGCTATTTCCACAGAAACTGGCAATAAAATATTGTTGCCATTGTTCTTAAACGCAAGGAACAGAGTCTGGCTGGCCCAGCTGCTTAAATCTTTCTATGGTTTTCATAAACTTGTGTTCTTCACACTTAGAATTCTTTGGGTATCTCCAAACATGTCTCCTTAGCAACAGTGTGAAAAGGACTAGCACAGCCCTTATGATTTATCTTTGATCTGAGCAGACTGAAAAAAACTATTGTTCATGTTCACAATTTCCTCTGAGCTAGCAATGCATGAAGTTTCCAGTACATACATATTTGAAAAAGGGATTAAAAAAAAATCCTCAGGAAACAAAATACATCTTTCAATATTCTTGAGTCTTCAAGTGAGTGGATGTGAAAATCCCCCTCGGAAGTGGTCCCATAAAAAAAAAAAAAAGCACAATCAAAAGTCAAAAATCTCAAGAAGTGATAGAAGCTGAAATGAAAAACTGAAATATTTGAAATAAGATAAGCACAGTTGCATACCATGGGTTCTGCAAAGCAAAGCCAAGACTTACCTGGCCAGTTCCTCTGTGCTCTCACAGGCTAGTAGAACGGCTTCAGCGGAGAGGTCAGCCATCGTGTGATTCAGCAAGTTCGGCAGGTGTGTCGCGTGATGTATGGAGGTATCATGGAACTCTATCTCTATAGCATTGTCTTGCTCATCATTGTAACAGCGAATGATACCAACAGAATTCCATACCTATTAAAAAGACACCACCCCCCCCAAAAAAAAAAAAAACACAAAACAAAAAAAACCCAAAATGAAGTGTACTGCCCTACAACAGCCTGCTGTAACTTCCTCATCTGAGACAACAGGAGGCAGGAGGCTGGAGGGAGGCTGAAGACTCGTGTAGTCAGGATTTGTAGTTTCTAAACCAGCTGAATTAGGCAGAAACTAGTTGCATCCTCATTGCTTAACCATTTTTCTCCTTACAAAATTAAGTGTGAAGAACTCGCAGTTAGAAAGAAATAGCGGGTGATTAACGTACAAGTCTTCACAGCACAAAAACATCCACAAGTTCTGGCTAAAAAAAAAAAGTTTTAAAAAAAGATTTCTTAGAATTCAATAGCACAGGTACAAACTGTATAGCTTGCTGCTGTCTTAAGGCCAAGTATTTAGTTCTACACCAACAGCAACCAAAACATAAAGCAGAACATTATGCAGTTTTTGCATTAACACAAAGCTACTTTCCATTCAGCTTCAGGCTGAATTATTAAAAATAAAAAAATCTTGGAAAATATTAGATTAAGACACAGCAAGAACCAGACAACATTAAAGCAACTAGATCTACATAACCACACACTGAGATGTACCATGAAACGATGCATGAGGTGTGCAGGAGTGGAGCCAGGCTGAAAGGGCTTTTGCTTGGGGGTTGGCATTGGCCCATCATAGAAAGGCTGCTGTGCAGATGGTAGCGGTAAAGCTGGCAAGCCACCGGTCTGATCATCATCACATTCCTTTTCAAGAAGGCTGGAAGTAGCTTTTATCATCCCAATATCTACAAGTTTAAAAAAAGAAAAAAGTAAAATTACATCTTACGCATATTATTATGACAGAATATAGGTAAGAAAATTTAGAACAGTCAAGATTTCTCTGGAAAAACAAGGCAGAAGATATCCGAACAGAGGATGCCAAGAGATCGTCCCAATAACATCTCAAAGAGCTCTGTAAAATCAGTTCATTCTCTACCTAGTGAGTTATCATCATCGTCAATTATTGACCGTCTCATACGGCCTGAAGTTGGCATAAGGTCATCATCACCGTCTTCATTAGCTCCAGCCTTCGGGGAAGACTCCGGTTCAATCACATCGCCGTTTAAATAGTCGTCGTCTTCTCCATCGAAGAGGTCGTTGTAGTCTTTTGTCACTGCGCTGGCAACCTAAATCCAGGGTAACAATCATCATCAAGCTTCTTTTGGCCACAGAATTCAAGAAACCAATTAACACACAAGAGGGAACTTTCAACACACAAACCAGAACGTTCAATGTCACTTGGTTACCTAAATAATCGCATTAATTTAAGAAATAATTGGTACCAATCACCTTGTCAGTTGGTTTCTTTCCATCACCGATATTTTCCAACAACCCCAGATTTCCTTCCTTGTCTGTATAAGCAATTTGCTTATATTTGGGGTGCCATGCCAGTCCACAAATGGTGTAATTTTTCTCATGCTTCATCCTAAAACAGTATAAAAGTAAGGGATGTTTAGTTAAGCTTCTCAGGGCAGAAACTTCAGAGTTACTGTAAAAAGTAATATTTACTAGTATGAGAAAGTGATGTTACACATAGTAAAATAATTAATAGGTTACCTTAAGAATAAACAGATATTATAAGCTTTAAAAATCAAAAAGAATCATTCTTAAAACAGCAGCTTCCTGAAACACAGAATCATGGAATGGTTTGGGTTGGAAGGAACCTTAAAGCCCATCCAGTTCCAACCCCCCTGCCATGGGCAGGGACACCTTCCACTAGACCAGGTTGCTCAAAGCCTCATCCAGCCTGGCCTTGGACACTTCCAGGGATGGGGCATCCACAGCTTCTCTGGGCAACCTGTCCCAGTGCCTCCCCACCCTCTCTGGGAAGAATTTCTTCCTGATGTCCAATCTAAACCTCCCCACTTTCAATTTAAACCCTTTACCCCTTGTCCTGTTACTCCCTGCCCTTGTAAAAAGTCCCCCCCAGCTACCTTGTAGGCCCCAGAGTAGAAAAGGAAGTCATTCCCCAGCAGTCATACATTCCAGAACTGTCCAGTTACAAAAAGAACGTTCAGTTGTTTCTCTTGTACCAAACTAAGGAGTTAATCCTCCATCTTTTCCATCCCTTATTCTCACAAAAAAAATTCTCACGTTATTTACAAAATCTGTCTTTAATTCTTAATATACGTGTTAGAGCAACAATCCTATTTCTTACCTAAAATATTCAGACAGATAAATCACCACTTTTATTCTCTACCTCACTTAATCATACCTTTTTTCTTTTCTTTGAGAGATGCTTTAAATAACCAAGATAAAGTGCAATTTGGCAGTCTGTCCTTTTTCACCTGAAGGTGAGGATAGCTGACTGATATATCTGTATTTCTCTCTCCTTCCAGAAAACACATCTTAATGTCAACAATCTTGGAGTTTGGGATGTGCATAAGATTTGTTTCCATCCAAACTACCCTGTAATCAACTATTAGATTAAAAAGTAATAATATATATCTATCTGCACAAAGAAAACTAGGCTGTGGAATTTGAACAAAACCCACGTTCCCGTCCCTTCCTGATTCTATTGTGAAGGATGCCTTTTCCAGATCCTTCCAGCTGTGCAGACAGGAAAACAGCACATCACGTGAATCAAAACATATTGATTCTGTGCTTATTGGGTATGGGGGGGGAAGGCAAACCACCACATTTCTACCTAGCACCAAGTTATACTCTTACGGAAGCTGCTTCCTTGTAGACCATGGAAATAAGACGGCAGCCCTTGAACTCCCTTCCGCACATGAACTGCAGCATTAGTGCACCTCACTGGGGCTGCCTTCCTCTCGCTCGAGTCCAGGCGGAGGGGTGGCCCTGCCTCCCAGCGTCACCCCCATCTGACACTGCTCTTCTGTCCCGTGCGCTTTGGTTCCCTCTCTGGACGTGCTCCCAGCCCCACCACCACCTGGGAGACCATCTGTGAGGCCAGGTAAACGGTATTCTTCAATCTGGGCCTTCCTACACTGTCCTAGGGTGCTTGTTTTCAGCAGAACATTGGCAGAAAACAATCTTACTGAGGCTTTTCAAGAGGCAGAGTTCTACATTTGTACAAAAATAGTTTTACAGAAGACAACAAAATTCTGTTGCAAGAAAAAGCTTCTACTTAGGGATTTATGGAACTCTGAATACCTCTCTATGCACTCCTGGGTTTCCACATTCCACACCACCATACTCCCATCCACGCTTCCAGCTGCCAGATACTGCCCACAAGAAGACCAGGCCACAACATTCAAGGGCTAAGGAAACAACAGAAAAGAAAATGTATATGTTACAAATGTACACACAGTATTCCTATTCTGGAGCTTAAAACAGATGTTCTGAAATAAAAAGATAATAACGACCTCTAGCAGATCACATCCAATATTAGAGCTGGCTTTAGGTAGTTCCCTGCAAGAGCCATTCTTCAAAGATAGCACACTTTTTTATGAGAATATCCATCCTCTGTCATTAAACGCTGCCATGAGGTCAAACAAAATCCGATCCTAGACATGCAGACAGCAGCGCCCTCTATTTTGCAAAGTCAGCACTAATCACTGCTTTATTTATTTTGAACTTAATACAGTTCCCTAAATTAAAATCCAAGACACTGTGTGTTCTGTATCTTCACAAAACTAGGAAAGTGGTCCTCTTTCACCCAAAGGTCTCCAAGTACATCATGAGGTCAAAAGAAAGAAGATGGCACAGTTAAGGCTACTATACAGCTAAATTTTAGCTGCATAAAATATAAAGTGAACAATTGATATTTCTGTTCAATGCAGGAATAATACTCCAGACATTTTCCCTAAAAAGCTATGTATTTAGAGCAATCTGTGAAAACAGATGTTCTTCAGCTGCAGCTGGTGACTCACTGGCAGACCTCAGAGACCTAGCGGGTTACGATAAAGGGAAGAGGGGAACCAGGGCCGCATAAAAGACACGTTTGACGCTCATCTTGCATCTCTTGCCTTGTTTTCCAACACAAAGCAACAGGATCAGAAATGAAATAGAAAGTGTGAGCGATGGTTACCAAAAGGTTGAAAAAACAAATAGTAAAGGATCCTGTCCAGAAGATAATTTTTAGCAGAACAACATTTAAATTACGGAAGATTTCCCAAGCACTTGGTTTATGCACCTACCTGGGTGATGAATGTATCCGTCAGATCGAACTGACTATCCCAGGTTTCTCTTCTGTAGAGTTTAACAACTTTATCTACAGGAATTGCCAGCAACTGTTCAAAGGAAATAAGAATCAGACGGTTCAGAACAAGTTATCTTTCAACGAGAACCTTCAAATAGCATAGCTCCTTCCCTCCAAAGCACTGCAGCTGTGACTGCCTCAGTATTCAACGGTACTCTAGGATCCCAGCAGAGAAAGTGAAGCAAGCTGAAGTAACCTGAATTACAGGGTTCTTTAATGTTTTCCACATGCAACATAGCAAAGCATGCCCTCTTTATTTTAATCTTCATTTCTTTCTGGCAGAAAACTGAAGATAACGACAGCTGCACAGTAAGGTTAGAAGTTCTTATTTATGAAACAGCTAACACACACACATGTAAGTAGTTTTCAATGCTGTGAGCACAAGGTTTATGTTCTCCTTCTCCCTCCACAAACATCATTCATCAAGCTGCAATTTCTCCACAAGTCCTATCTGAAGAGCTGATTATTGAAATACCTCATTTCATCTTTCACAAAGCACCATAAATGTTACTGCCTGTTAATTTTTTCAGGATTTGGGTTTTTTAAAAACTTCTAAATTTCCTTAGTAAGAGAAGCATGACAACTGCTTCTATTTCAAATCTGTGTATATGTGCATGAAGAATTAACCTAAAAATTAAAGTACTTATTTTTATGCAATAGGGATATTGAAATAATCTGTACTGCAGGTGATGTTCTCTTCCACAATAAAGTTACACTTAGTGCTATCATAGCATCCAGGTATTTTGAAGAGTGGACACAGGTAGACAGACACAAAGGCTAAGTTGGGGAAACAGAAGATTATTCAGGTAAGAACTGTGAGAAAACACTTGAAAATATTCTTTAGATCCAGTATACTGCAATATCAATAAATGAATAGGTTCTGCAACACTTTCACAGGCAAGAACAGAAGCCAGAAAACATCTTTTCCAAGCAGACGATTTTCTCACAATTCCCTGTCCTTTACAATCATAGACTGGTTTGGGTGGGAAGGGACCTTAAAGACCATCTAGTTCCAATCCCCCTGCCATGGGCAGGGACACCTTCCACTAGACCAGGTTGCTCCAAGCCTCATCCAGCCTGGCCTTGAACACATCCAGGGATGGGGCATCCACAGCTTCTCTGGGAACCTGTCCCAGTGCCTCCCCACCCTCTGCGGGAAGAATTTCTTCCTGATGTCCAACTTAAACCTAATCTCTTTCAGGTTAAAACCATTACCACTTGCCCTGTCACTACAGACCCTTATAAAAAGTCTCCTCCAGCTTTCTTGTAGCACCCCCAGGCACTGGAAGGTGCTATAAGGTCTCCCCGGAGCCTTCCCTTCTCCAGGCTGAACACCCCAACTCTCCCAGCCTGTCCCCATGGCAGAGGGGCTCCAGCCCTCCGAGCATCTCCGTGGCATCCTCTGGACTCACTCCAACAGCTCCATGTCCTTCTGCTGTTGGGGGCCCCAGAGCTGGAGGCAGAACTGCAGGGGGGGTCCCCCCAGAGCAGAGGGGGAGAATCATCTCCCTCGACCGGCTGGCCACGCTGCTCTGGATCCAGCCCAGGATACGGTTCACTTCAAGTACAGTGGGGCATGCCTCATTTCAGACAGGTTCACATTTATCTGGTCCTTCCTCCTCTCCCCTTTGCCTTATCAGGTGCTGCAGAGGTGTTCTAGGTTACGTGCTACAGAGACCTCCGACCCATTTCGGTTAGTGAACCGTACATAGTACAGCTGCAGCAGGACCTACGCAACACACCAGACCCACAGGTATGTGCTGTCAGCACCACCGTTAGTCACAACAGAAACAACTCCAGGTACAAAGAAACGGAACCGCCTACTAAGGAAAGATTTACAGAGCAAGATTACTGACACGGCAAAATTTACTGAAAGTAGAGACAGACTGAACTCCTTTGATGCTCTGTTTTGAGCAATTATTTCCCGCGTGTACCATGTTCCTTCCTATTCAGCACAACACGACTGTTTAACATTGTTTTGGGCTGACAAACAAACTGCCAAACAGAGTCTGGAGCTTAAACAAGTAACCATTTCCAGGTTTTGATTTTTCCTGAAAAGCAAACCTCACCCCAAATATTTTCCCTAGTCCCAGGAACTGCAATTTGGACTTGTCCAGATTGAATTCTGCTGTTGGGACTCCCAAGGAGAAAAAGGAGGATGAAGATCTGGCTAAGACAATGTCACCTACCTTCCCACTGCCGGGTTGCCAGCCAAGCCTGCATATTGACTTAGCGTTTATCACATCGTTACATTTCTGCAGCAGCGGCCAGCTTGTCGTGCATGTCTGAAAACAAAATATTTGAAAAATGAGTTTTCTAGGTCTGAAAATCTACTGTATAGTAACAAATTCTTAAAGATAAAGTGTGAAAAGGAAAAAAAAAGCATACCATTTTTGAAACAGAAAGTCTTTCATCCAAATACCATGGTACATACCAGCTTAAATAACAACACTGAAAAAAATATCTTGACAGTACAGACCTAAAAATATTTTAATGACAATACAACTACTTGTAACAGAAATAAGAGTACAGAACAAATGAGCTCACATTATTTTTATGTTACAGAGAAGTCTGGCCAAAACTGGGAAACCCAGAACAACTGTAGCAAGGTGACACACATCAGCCTGACTCTTGCTACAGCACTATAAGGAATATATATATATATATTCTCAAATTACAGCACAGCAACATACATCTTCCTGCCACAATTCCAGGACACAGTGTAATTGCCCCAAAAGGCACCCACTGTGAGTCTGCAACGTGAGATTTCACATTAGAATCATAGAATGGTTTGGGTTGTGAGGGACCTTAAAGATCATCCAGTTCCAACCCCCCTGCCATGGGCAGGGACACTTTGCACTAGACCAGGTTGCTCCAAGCCTCATCCAGCCTGGCCTTGGACACTTCCAGGGATGGGGCATCCACAGCTTCTCTGGGCAACCTGTCCCAGTGCCTCCCCACCCTCTCCGGGAAGAATTTCTTCCTGATATCCAGTCTAAACCTCCCCACTTTCAATTTATACCCGTTACCCCTTGTCCTGTCACTACAGGCCCTTTTACAAAGTGTCCCCCACCCAGGTTCCTTGTAGGCCCCTTCAGGTACTGGAAGGCTACAATAATAATCCAGCCTCCTCTTCTCCAGGCTGAACAAGCCCAACTCTCTCAGCCTTTCATCATAGGAACATCCTCAACTCTCTCAGCCTCTCATCATAGGAACATCCTTGTGCTTTAAAAACTAGCAATCCACACGCGCGGGGTACATTATCAACTGTACTTATAGCAATCATTTCACATGGATTCTTCTTCCAGACAATGGCATTCAGCAAAACCAATCCCACACACACATGCAGAATTGCTTTTTTAAATTCTTCATCTGAAATCCTCTTTTCAAGTTCCTTAGAGTTCCAAGAACAGAGACTAAATCTGATTCTACCACTACATCTGATCTTACAGGCCCTGAACTATTTCAGGCAAATATTGCCAAACTGAGCCCAAAAACTGTATTTCTAATAATTTATGTTCTTATTATTGCGATTTACGTCATCCTTCTGAGAAACTGTTGTGAAGTTTGCAACCAACAAACTAACGTGGAAGAAGCAGCTCCCTGTCGATAGCCTCAACCTCAGTTCAGACCTAAAAGGCTGAAATGTACTGAGCAGAACCTCGAGTCCTTAGAAAACTAAGTACGTGTGCCACAGGCAGAGCGCAGGAGACACAGAAGCAACACTGTGTCCAAAGTCCCCTACCAAAGAAAAATGGGCATCATTACATGATCCTGACATGTGAAATCCGTATCTCTTTCTAATCTCAGGTCAAATAGTCGTGTTCCCATGACAAAGACTAACCAACCAGACCACTTATAAAGGATGATACTGTGTAGCATCTCACAGCATTATTGCACCTTCACCAGCCTACAGACCTGAAAATTATCCATTATTTCATAGGAAGCTTGGTAAAAATAAATTTTAAAAATACCTAGATGGTTGTTTATTAGAACAAAAACCCTTCCTCAACCCTGAAAGCATCGAGCTGAAGTTCTGAAACAAGGAATCTGATGCGAGTTGCTATCTGTATGCAGAAGTGCTGTTTCTGAATAGGCTGAGAACAAAATACACCATCATGTTGGCCAATAAAGAAAGATGAACACAAGAAATCAGGGATTCCACAGACAGGAAGAACAAACCGCATTGATCCAGGCAACATTTCATAATCAGGCTTCGGAATTTCTCCCAGAAATAGGTAAAAGCATTCTGCAAAGTGTAGTTGAGACTTCTTCGCCTGAAAACCAAATTCTCCATCTCTTCTTTCAGGTGCTCCAGTGCACAGCCACCATTTAACTTACACAAGAACTTCAGACATAAACATTCTGGTAAATACTAGCAGCAGCTACTGATGACACACGGTAAGACAAGAAGCATTAATTCCAGGAGGGTTATTTCAGTCAAGCTCTTCCCCCTGTCTGTGAAATCCCTCATCTCTTGCGGAACACGTAAGGCTGAAAAGCACGCCTTCTACCTGGTCTGCAATCTTCCATACTCTGACAGAACCATCACAGCTCGCTGATGCCTGTGTAAGAGGTTTTTGTAAACAAGTTAATTATTAAGGACAGAGAAATGAATTCTATAAATTAAAAACAACCTATAAGCAGTGCTACAGTCATGTAATATACAGGCAGTTTTAAATAGAAAGCCTCCCAGTTTAAACCATTTTAAGACTTCAAACTTTCCAATACTGTCATCTTAATAGTTACACTTGACTCCAAACTACTGTAATTACAAACCCTTATACTTCAAGTGAGCTGCTTATTTGCAGAATAGGCTCATAAATCAATATCAAATTTCTTTAGCGAACCATTTTTTTCCCCTCTAAAAATCAGACCAGCATTAGATTCCACAAGAACACAGACAGAAATCGAGTGGTACAGCAAAGTCTGAGTTCTTCTGGGAGAAGTTGTCACACATCCCATCATCAGTGAGGTCAGCTGAAATGAAGCAGTCTTACATGTCCAGTCACCATTTGGTTTGTTTATTTTGTTGGGGTGTTTTGGGTTGGGGTTTGGTGTCTTTTTTTTCCCCTCAAAAGTATTTTCTTCCCTAAGGGAAAAGGAGATTCAAAGTAGAAAGGAAACAAGAAAGTGTTTTTACCAGGTAAACATCCTTGGGGTCAAAAGACAGGCTTAAAACAGGAGCATCATGTCCTCGGAATGTTTTCTGCTTGCTGCTATCAGTCACCTCCACAACTTTGACCATAAAGTCGCTGCAGATCACAACAGCACAGACATGAAAGTATCAACACTGGCGTTAACAATGACAAACTATTTATTTATTACTACCAAAATGTAATTGGGCGTTGTCTTTTGGGGCAGTTCCAGCTCTCACCACTGTATATTCCAAGGGAAAATGAGAATCTTGATGCTTACTACAACAGGAGCAAGGCCAGATTATCAGAAAGTAATTTTTGGTTTTATCAAAGCTCATAAATATGGTTGCTCTTTGAAAAGGGGATTATGTGCACACAGACCATATACCTGTTTAATGTATTCTGTATGACCTAATGAATGTCTGTGCTTAGATACCAGAGAGCTGACTTAACAAGAACTATCTGTTAAATTAGACCAATATTCACTACCATAATGACTCTGTCATCCAGTTTAATTAAAAACAAAGGCAAATAGTTTATTTTTTAAAGTTTTTAACAGGATTTTTAAGACCATTTAGTGCATCAGATACATTAACTGACAGAAATTTCAGATGGAGAGGAGAGAAATTTTATTTTAGAACCTAATCCTATAGGGTTAACCATTACTTTAACTACATTCAGAAAACACACCCTCAGTTTTGCCAATTACCTAACCAGTCAAAAAAGGAAGCCTATAAGCTGTGTTGCAAGACAAGTAAAATGATGTTATTTAGCCCTCCTTAAAAATGCAAGACAACTGTAAAGAAACAGGCAATAGGATATTGTCTGTTTATTTGAGAAGCCACACAACTATTTTTCAAATAGTTCTTATGAACTTTGGCAGCCAGCAGATGTTAAACTTTTAAAAAATTGAAGTTTACAGACTTCACGAAAAAAATAGAGAAAACTGGGACCACTGACCATAATTGTCCTTAGCTACATTCCTTCATTTCACTGCTGTCACCTCCTCCAGTATGTTGCAGATGACCTCACTGAGGGGCGGCCTCGTAGTCCCACGAGCTCTTTTCCCTAAGACCAGAGCTCTGGCCAGGCTGCAGAGGTACTGGGGTTTTGTAAGAGTTTTAGAAACAGAAAAGAGCCTGCCTAATCTCTCTAATCAAAGTCAGGTCCTGGGGCAGAGCTGTTCCCTCAGAAACAAGTGCTGGCAATAGGCCCAAACTCACGATCCCTGTCAGATTTAGAGATTAGCGTGGTTACAGCCCCGAGCTGTCCAGCCTCCCAGTTTTGGTGGAACTGGGGTGTTTGCTCCACTGCTACCAGAATTCAGAGTCCAGCATATTTATCCAAACTGTTTTCTAGTTCAATCCACCCTCACAGGAGCCAGGGAGCAGATGCAACACTCCGCTGTCTCTACCACAGAGGACAAATTACAGCAGACAGGCCAAGCAGACAGCCCAAGTTACCTACAGCTGCCCAGAGAGTTCACCAAATCCAATTAGGACTCTCCCCAACCTTAAATAAATGAAAAAACAATTTGCCTGCTCATTATGTTGCCACCTCTGTTGAGGGACTAGCAAATATTACAGAACAGCAAACATGCTGTCCTAAGAAGTTAACTATGCGCTTCATCTCCCTCAGAGAAGTCTTACAACTGTCATCTCTTACCATCTGGCAGAACGGTGATGAGAATTACGCCAGAGAATGACTCAAAGCTCTTGCACAACCCAGAACCCATCTAACGTCCATGTGCGCGCATACGTGCGTGGCACCACGGCCCCGAACCATCAGGACATCGGCACGCAGTAACAAAATCCTCGAGGCTGCAATGAGCACCGTGTATCAGCCAACACTTAGCCTTACACATAAGGCTGAAAGCTGAAAACACCCCAGTCTCCTAAAGAAAAGGAATTATTTCACAACACCAGAATTCCATTTAAAATTAGTTGGTGGATCAAATATCTCATTGTTTCCTAAAGTCATTCTTTTCTTCCTCTCCACCCCGGGAGGCATTTTGCAACAGTTTAAGACCCTCAGAGATATACGGGTTCATGATCCCATTGGTAAAAATCAGCATGCGAGGAAGCTGCCAGGTTTCCAATGACAGCTTTTCCTTATCATGCCCGGATTACCTAGATCCGGCGGCGATTTTGGTGCCAGCACTATTAAAGACAACGTGGTTCGCATTCATGGTGAAACGGGTAAGGATGCCATCTGGAGCTCCTTCAGGAAACGTATGTATCTGAACAGTGTTGTTCGATACTGCTGTGATCAGTCTGCCGTTCTAAAAAACAAAATCCATGGTAAAATTCATCAGTCAAAACACAATTATGCCCACGGAGCCAAAATAATAGCTCTGATGGTCCCACTATTTGGGCAGATTAACTTTAGCAGTTCCAAGAGGTCTGCCAGAGTAAATATTCTTTAACTTTTATTTCCTCCCCAAAAATACAGACAAGCACAGTAACTTTAATACTTTAGCCCTTTAACCAAACTATTAAATACTAGAAAGATCATTCTCTTATTGTCAGTATTGTAGAAACACACCGCCAGGTTTAACGCCAAAATACGTAAAATTCATCATGCTAACTATATGGCAATTTCCTGCATCAAGACCTGCCCAACTGGTATCTTGTACTAAAATGATGAACGCTCGAAGGGAATGTCAAAGAGAACTGTCTGATCTTCTGGTGGAAGGGAAGTTTCTTCCTTTTACATAGGCAAGAAAGCGCTCTGAAGAGAAAGAATCTTGCATCATCCTATTCAGATTAATACACTGCAGCATCAGGAGAGGGCACCCTCGGACCGAACTGCTCTGTTTACACATCACCCGGGAAAGATGAGAAGTTCATGAACTAGAGCTCAGTTCTTTTCAGGAAACAGAAGGCAGATGTTTACTAAAAATTAATCCAAGTTCAAAGAAGCGCAAAACAAAACCGATTCTCCTGTACTTGGAAAAGTAATCTCCATTCAAGTGACAATACTTTTCCTCAGCTGTACACTGCAGTGAGTTTTTGAAATACATAAAGAAATGCCTTATTTCCCTCGTGGGGTTTTTTTTGTTCGGGTTTGAGGGGGATGTTGGCTTTTTGTTTGGTTACTTAAAGTTATAGTAAGAGTCCTGAAGATAAACAAAGCAGCAGCCAATACTATATGGCCTAAGTAAGAGATGAGATTTATTACCTGGATTACACCCACATCTCATCTGAGTTCCTCCTGGCACCATCATTAATTAAGAATAACTTTTGAAATAAGACTCCCTGAAGTTGTCTCACAAAGCATTCTTAACCTCACTGTCTGAAAACAAAAAAGCCCTCAAACCTAAAAGCACTTTACAGTCAACTTAAGAGCAGAGGATTTTTCCTACTGGTGTCAAAAATTAGAACCAGGATTTTCCCCTCGTCTATTCATTAATAGTTTTAGCAATTTCTGCATCTACCAGTGATTTGCTAAGAGGACTCATTCACGTCACCTCATTTGGTTTCATGAAAAGATAAGAAGTGCAATGAAAAGCAACAGCAAAATACCCTAAAAATCAATTATGAAGATAGATTTTACAGGTATTGATGAAGAGATACATCAGGTATGTTAAAAGGGATACAAGAAAGAGGTTTCACTTAAGGCTAGGTTTCAAATGATTATTTTTAAAATAGAATACGTATCTGTTAATTCTCATTTATTTCCTCTTTCATACTACTCTCCAAAATCACAAATAGATGAAAAACAGTTTTTAAATTTTCCCTTATCACTGCAAAGCTGACTACACAAGAACTGAAGAACTGACTTCCGGAATGCCTCACTTCTTCTACAGCTGCCACAAAGACAACATTTTAGACCTTCTAATTACTGGTGTAATATAACAGTAATTGCACAGAAAGGAAATAGGTGAGAATTAACATGCACAGTAAAGTTATTATTTTCTGTTACACAGATTTATATAGGTAACTTCTTTGCCTTGTGATTTACAAACAGTGACTCCTGCCAGATACCACAAAAGGAACTGCCATAACATGACGACAAACAGAGCGGGTTATGCTTCAAATCTAAGTCAGTCAGACCTCAGAACGGTCCGTAATCAGCGTTCCCACACATTGTTACAAGTTAAGCAAGAAAGAATCCTCTTCCCTTCTGACTTTGGGGACAGTGGGTCAGAGGTGTCTCTGGGCTAAAGGCCAGTTCTGAAAGCAAAACATCAACCAATTATAAAAAAGTATTACCAAAGTGTTACCAAACACTCTGTGAAAGTAATTTTTTATTAATATAGATTATAATTCCTTGGACCTGAAAACAGGCCCTCATAAAACAACCTCTTGGCTGTTTTCCCCAATATTCGATCACATCTTACGCTGGGAAACTTTGCAGCTCGCATTGTGAGAAAACACTGCAACAGCCTAAAAAGTTCACTGCATAATTAGCTTAATCAGGTGGGTTTGTTTCTCAGAAAGGAGATCAAAGTCAGAAATGAGTATAACCAAATGTGAAGGAAGAGAGGAGGAAAAAAAAAAGTTTAATATAAGGAATAATTCTCCTACAATCCTGTATGGGGTAAAATCAATTGTCAGAGGTATTCTTGGTTTATATAAAATAGTTAATTTAGTTAAAATATTGAAAACTTCTATTGGCACAAATAACCAATTAAATTCCTGTGTATTTCAGAAAATTATGTTTTCAGTACTGCTTTAATATTTTCCACTTAGACAGAAAGGTAGAGTATCTCCATATGCTCCAGTTTAAATACCTATGGCTCACTAAACAGCATTCCATTTATTTTTTCCATATATTAATCTGAAGGCAAAGATCTACATATTTAAGATACATCAAAGATCCACATATTTAAGACAAATCAGGATGAAATGCACTACATACAACCTTATTCTTGCCCTTTCCTGTATACATTATATATAATGTTACCCACATGAGCAGCATCCCTGAGCCTGAAGGCCCAGCATCTGTAGTCATGTACCAACACCAGTATGACACAACTTAGAGGAGTTCTCTTAACAACAATACCTTTAGAGCACAAGAATAGGCCTTTTCTCCCACATTAATGGACTTTGGGTCATCATCATCCAGGTTTTCCCAAATTCTAACATCTCCATCACTGCCACAAGTTACGATGCAGCTATGGAAAGACACAGGATTTGTTAACACTCAGGAACGGAATGAGACACCGCTGTGACTCTCAATCCCTAAATGAAAATATTACTGAAGTGCTAGTTTGGGGGGTTTTAACTGAAACACAATACATATTAGGTGATACAGCACATACCTACATTTATTACATCTAAGCAACTTATTAAACATGGGGAGGGAAAAGTCACATGAGGGAGCATAACACAGCTTGAGTCTCTGCTAACTACCTATGCCCAGCACTCATCCAAATTGACCCTTCAATATCATCCATCAGTCTATTGTTTTCCAGGACCTAGAGCAAATTTTTCAAAGGCCTTAATTAGCACTGATTTCTCAAAGAACTGGGCAATTAATTGCTTAAGACTTTGAAAACTTACCTTACAGCTGATTACAAAGTTGAGGGCAAAACTAAGAATGTTAATGCGTACTTGACTGAACTTTAACAAGCTTAACATGTTCCAGGCCTACAGAACCCTTAAAAAATAATTAGTATGGAATTCAAGTCGGCTGGAGTTAACTTTCACAATTTCAACACCTGAAGTCAGAGCAAATATACAGAAGTTTGCATGGCATTTTTAATTAAAGTCATCACGAATCGATAATCAAGCCTTGCATTCTTTTTTTCTAAATGTGTTTGCAGTCCAAAAAAAATCTCATTAAGCAGCAAAATGTTACAAAGCCAGTGGTGAAGCTGAGATGTCATTCTTAGTTCCATAAGGCTTGTACTTTGACAGCAACACAACACTGTTGACACTCAATATAGTGATGCTGGGGAGTCCAGCAGTAGTGGACCAGTGGTATTTGTCAGAGACATCTGCATCCTTTTATAAACATTTTGCATTGTTTAACAGCAAACGAGGCTTTTTGTGGGTTTGAGGGATGGTTATTAGACTAACTCTTAGGAGTAGCTTTTGTACCAGGGCTAATGAACTGAAGAAAGTAGTAAGAGAATATGGACTCCAAAGTAGGTCTTATACTCAGTGTAGAAGAATTAATGTATAAGACCCCTTGAGTTTATTTTGAGAGGGCCTGTTTTCTAGTTTACCTTTTATTTTTAATCAATAAAAAGGTAATGGAAAATACTTAGTTCATATTTATATGTACAAGAACTAGCGCAATAACAAGAACTGTTGGATTTCTTCAACTATATTTTGAATTTCTTAGGGCATGTGTGAATATATTTACTACCGCAGCTCATTGATTTCTGCTAGATTCTGTGAAGTCACTTTCAGAAAGTGCACGTAGAGATTTTATATCTGTACATACATTATATATGCTGCCATTTATCTTATAAATCAATCACTTCAAAACTCAGGGCATCAAAATATGTCATACAGCCAGTTCTCAAGACAGGCGAACACCAAGTATTTGCCAGACCAAACCAGTCCATAAATCTACCCCAGCCTCTCCCCCAGCCGTGGCTGTACAGAAACCCCTGGAAAAGCAGGAACACGGCCACACTTCGCCCTGGTCTCTAGGAATTAGGCAGTTACCTCCCAGTGTCATCAAAGCAGACGTCCGTGTGGCCTTCGGTGTGGCCATACCGCATCGGCTTTTGCCTGGAAGGCATCTTTGCGCTCACCTGTTTATTGACAGAAGACAAAAGGGAGAGAAATAAAATAAATTTAATTAGAAAAAGCTTGGGGAAGGGCCTCAGGAGACAGGGCAAGGCCAGAGCTGCTGGGACACCCACCGGCTGGGGACACGGGGCGCAGCCACCAGCCGTGCCCCGCTCGGCCCAAGCGGGTTCCTGCCCGTCACCTCCTCGCGTGGGAAGGGCCTGGTGCGGAAACAAACCGTGGCAGAAAGGTGTGTGGCGGGAAAAACGGGTTACGGGGGTGCTGGGCGCCTGTCCTTCAGCGCCACCTCAGTGCCCGGG